AGTATTGACAATTGCTCACCTAGATTAATATGAAAGTGTAAATCTGATGTCAGTTTGCTTTGATAAAAGTTGGAAAGCAGATAAAGTTGATCCAGGTCTCTTAATGGCTTTGCATACCTAATGCTGATTTGCTTTGTCAATGAAGGAAAGGGCAATTGTTTTTGGCATATCAATTTCAGCTCAAGGGTAGCCTCTGGTAGTTTTCTAAAACTGAGCCTATGAGGCAAACAAACATCTTTTCTCCTTTAACACAGAAGGTATTCCAATGGCAAGATCATACCAAGTCAAAAGTAGAAACCAAAAAAATCAGTCACAGATTTGAGAGTTCTCTAGATTATGCTCTTTATCATTGATTTTGTTTTTTTTTTTTTGCTTGCTCATAGGTTTTCTAGGAATCAAGACATTAAAGAAAAAAGAGAACTATTGCTAGAAATCCAATATATAAAAACACAAAATACTAGTGTGATAAGTAGAAATGAAAAGTTAATTAAATTATTCAATTATGTCAGCATCATATTTTCATATAAATGATAAGAGGATTATGTCACAGTGTAGACTTAATAACTTACAACTTCTCTATAGCAGCAACTCATTATAAAGAAAAAATGGGGTTCAGCTAAGAAATGCAACCACTATACTTTCCTCTTTCCATGTTAATCCATTGTGGGACAAAAGGTACACTCCAGTTTTAATGATAAATAATCTAATCAATAGAGCAATATTTAACAATAAGTAATCTAAGCAATAAATAATTGAAGCAATGTTTATAGTTTGACTCTGGAAGGTTCCCAGATGTTCTGGAGGTTTGGTTCCCAGTGCAGCAATGTGCACAGGTGGAGCTCTTAGAAAGGGATGGATCAGGAGGGATCTGACATCTTCAAGTGGATTAATCCAATAAGCTGATGGCTTATTGGGAGGTGGTAGAAACTGCAGGGTGTGGGACCTAGTTGGAGGAAGTAGATCATCCACCGGGGGTGTTCCCTGAAAGAATATTGCTTGTCCCCAGCCCCTTTCTTGCTTGCCCTCTCCACTTCCTGGCTTCAATGATGTGACCACCTTTGCTGATGATGTGACCCTTCCTTCCATGGTTTTCTGCCTCATCACAGATTGACCAATTGATCATGGTCTGAAGATTCTGAAATTGTGAGCCAATGTAAATCCTTCCTCCTGTACCTTGATTTTCTCAGGTATTTTCCTCACAGTGATGAAAAGCTTACCTAGGGAACTAGGTAAAAATAACCTGGCTATTTTCTCCAGGAATTACTTGTTCCTGGGGAAGGATCCACATCTTTAGCTAGTGAGGGAAAGTTATGTAAGAAAGATATCATCTGTGACCTTATCCTTTCCTGTTTTGCTTGTATTTTTTTTGTCCACTTTTATGGTAGCTCATAAACTTTTCCTAAAGTAGACTACTTAAATGTAGGATCAAAGCAACCAATCTATGGTCAGCATACTTTCTGATCATGCTTCTGATTTCATTCCTTTATGCTTTTGTTCTTATCTAAAAGTTTATTAGTCAAGA